GGTGAGTGAAGGTGCTAATGATGCCGTCTGGATCAGACTGAGAGGGCGAAGAGTGAAGTGAGGAGACATGATGATGGGGAGTGTTGACTAGCCGTCTCTGTCCACCTGCAGGCACACTGGGCTACAATCAGAGCTCGTTCCACACGGAGATGTCTCAGATTGGCTTCTCCACACACACACTGGATGTAAGTCCAAAGTCTACAGTCTTTCACTTGTGTGTGAAGTTTTATTTGCGCATCTCATGAAACTCTTTCCTTCAGGATGGCATTTTGTTTGGGACGGTTGGTGCCTATGACTGGGATGGTGGAGTGCTGAAGGAAGGGACCAATGGCCACATCATGCCACCCAGAGAAGCTTTTGAGCGCGAGTTTCCACTGGAGCTCAAAAATCATGCAGCTTATTTAGGTACTGACATATCACACCACTGAGCATAGATCTCAAAGGATCATACTGGTGTACGTTTTGTGTGTGAGCCCATGACTCTCGCAGATGATTGTGCTATTGTTATTGTACTGTGCGAAGTGAAGAGTCCATTCTTTTGGGTGATGCATTAATGTGTTGGTGTGAAGCTACAACGTGAGAAATTGGTTGCAGTGCTGCGTTAACATCAAACTAGTCTGAAGAACAGACTGAATTGTCATTTTGTTTCACGTTAACCTTTCTTTTGTATTTTAATATTATATTGTTTCTATATTATTCTTTTTCTAGTCATTCTATGTGCTTCACTGAACAAAACAAATATGTAGGTGGTGATTCAGAGGTCTGGAACCAGGGAGTGCAGTTCAGACACACTACCACCCACAACTTATTTTGGTTTTAATTTGAGTGACTGACAATATATGTAAGAATATGTACTATATGTGCATATTATCAGCTGAAATATTACAAACTGAGAAACAAAATGTTGGTCCAGACCACAGTTTTGCAGGTATTCAAACTGCCACATAATAATTACCAGACAACGAAGCAACAAGGAACTTGAAACTGAAACTATCTTCTTTGCAGTAGCACCAAGATTTATGGAATTCTTTTTAAAATACCCTTGTTGTTTTTGTTTGTCTTTCAGTTTACTTTCATAAAAAACTAACTTGTGATCACACCTCCTGTTCTTTCCACACTCCAAACTGAATGAACATGTAACATGATGCAAACACTGATAAAAATAAAAATAACATAAAGTGACACATTACGTATCTGAAGTGAAACTTCATTTTTAATGTTATATTAGAGACAACTGGAAATAGAAGTGCAGTGGAAAGAACATTTGATTTTTTTTATAGTAGATTAAAACATAACTCCGGTATGAGGTTAGATGTCTTTTTTTAAACCAAAGGCCTTAGATTGTATGTATGCATGTTTTCAGGTTACACAGTGTCATCTGTGATAGTTGGTGACTGGAAGAGGCTGTATGTAGCCGGGGCTCCTCGCTTCAAGCACAAAGGCAAAGTCATCCTGTTTGAGCTCAGTAATGAAGGAGATGTCAACATTGTGCAGGCCCTTAATGGAGAACAGGTAAAGCTCTCTTCTTTACTCTCTCTTCACTCCTTTCAGTCATTTGTTACTTATTTCTTTCCGTCACTTTTACCTATTTTTTAGAAGAAAACAAATGAATTGCACTAGTCAGAGATTAGCGCAAGTGCTCCACCTAGTGGCAGTAAATTGGAAATACCTGTTTCTGTCCATAGATTGGATCGTACTATGGCAGTGAGGTGTGTGGGCTGGACATCGACAAGGATGGCATCACCGATGTCCTCCTGGTTGCTGCTCCAATGTACCTCAGCTCAGGAAACAAGGAGGCGGGTAGGGTCTACATCTACACTCTCAGTGGGGTAAGACAGCAGTGGCAGTGATCACTCTTTTCTGTAAGGATAATTATGCAATCATCATGAGAATACATAACATTTCATGCTTATGAAGACTTCTATTAGAATTTTCTCAAGAGACAGACAGTAATGTCTCTGCTTCTCCTTGTCTCTCAGGAGGAGGTGTTTGTTTCTAATGGTACTCTGAAGTCAGAGGAAAAGTCACAGGATGCCAGGTTTGGTTATGCACTGGCAGCTGCTCCAGACCTCAACCATGATGGCTTCACTGACCTGCTGGTGGGAGCCCCGTTGGAGGATGAACACAGAGGGGCCATCTATGTCTACCATGGTGACAGTATTTACATCATCCACAATTATAAACAGGTACTTGTCATTT